TTCGTGTAGGTAGGCTTTATATATTTGTGACGAAAAATAAAGGGGAATCGTTCCGGTTCCGCAGCTTTCCAGTTAGTTACAACAACATACCGCAAGTCTCCTAAATATTCATAAGAATTTCTATTGTAAATAATCTCTTTTGCGTAGCGCGAAACAAAAAAACTTTTCAGAGACACCACTGTTCCAATATTGAAAAAAAAATTTCCGGAAAATATGACAGACCCCAACTTGGGTCGGCGTTTGCGGTTGTCGTATCACAGGCAGGAAGCAATGTAACTCTGCGGATGGCACATAGTAATCTGGAAAACATTCGCAATTTCACAGTCATTACTCCAAATTTCAAATGGTGCAGTTCGTTTGTTTACTGTGATATAATTTACCGTAAAAAATAATGTCAAATATTTATGAAAAGATTTACAAAATTTTGGTTTGCCGTTTTTATGATGGTTCAGCAAGACCACTGAACAGTTCGAATTGCACGGCTACGAGCGGAGTATAATCTGGATGCGCCCACTCATGAAGTACAATACGGCACCATAAAAGTTAAGAAAAAATTATATTAATGCTTAAATTTAAATATTTCTATCGCGCTTCCTGAAGAAGGCAGTAAGCGCGATGCAACCAAGTAAACGCTTAAAAGGTTTTTATTTCAGTTGCTTTTTATCGCGATAGTTCATTTTAATTTATTTTGCTGCAATAGATGTCAAATGTTTGTGATCGTGGCGCATAGGAGAGAACCGGTACCTCATCGGTCGCATCACGCACACCATGATGATGATGATGGCCAACAGCAATGAAGAAATACAGTATAATTCGCTGCTTTGTAAGTTCAGGAGATTTAAAGCAAATTTTCTTGAATTTTTGTAAGGAAACTAACTAACGTCTCTGTAGGTATATAAAATGGCGCACTCTGGAGTACAACTGGCGCAGTCGGCCGACGCAATATGTAATGCACTGTAATCCCCACAGAAAGGACCCCAGACGTCAACAGTGACACCAGGTACAACATCGAAAACGTGAGCGATAACATATCTATATTACATTTGTTTCTACAGTATTTCATGTATTTGATTAATTCGCAAACGTAGGAAAGCAAAAGGAAAAACTAATGGCTTAATCGTTATCGCGTGTGCCTTTTAGAAAATGATCCCGAGCCAAACTGTGTGTTTCCGCTGTGGCTGAGCGAGCGGAGAAGCTGTGGTATATTGCGGTACATGTACAAGCCGGTCCGGAGATAGAGCACGATAAAGAACAGCGAAAAATGTAATTTCATGGGTTACACCAAACAGCATATAGTACGCCACACCACGCCACTCTGTTTAAACACGTAACATGCGTTTCTCTGGGTGGTGGCTTGGTGCACACCATATATTTTAATGAATATAATCGTAATTGTCTGACGGAAGGTGGCTACAAAACGGTCGGTGCGGTCTAACTGCCGAGCGCATTTACGCATTAGCCATTATGACAAGCGTAGTGTAGTGGTCATCGTGCTCAGCGCTAACATCGCACTAATTATGCATTAGCTGTTCTCTATCGTGCTCTAAATCCGGACCGGCTTGTACGTACGTACCATATGCATTACAACGAACGCCATAAACGTGATTAACCCGATAGTCGATAGCGCTATGCATGCACAATGCACATCATGCCCTATCGGTGTAACCACATTTGCGGCGTCTACTGTAATGTACTTCATTATATTGTTATATTTAATAATTACCCATAACAAGGCGGTGTAAACAAGCAATTTGTATTAAATATTCCCTAATTACGGGATTGCCAGATTAGTATCAATTGGAGTCGTCATACTTTACTAATAACATATAACTCCAGCGGATACATGTACATATTAAGCTTTATATATTCAGTTTACAGCACTGAACAACCAAATTGCTCAATTACACCAAGGTACCAAAAAATTGCTTGATCAAAAGACAGTACTCGAGTAGGTCACGTACGCTAACCGGAAAAAATATATTGTATAAAATGTTTTTCATATTAACAAATTATGTTTATTTAAAATAACGTATATATGTAGTGCATGAAAGGCCACGTAAGACAGGAAGGCAAAATTTTGATACGAATTTATGTGTGTAAAAGATTGATGTACTGTACCTATCTGTAAATAATTAAATACGCCTGTGCTGCATGATAAAAATAATAGATATGCCTGTGATGTACAGAATAAAATAAACATGCCTGTAATGTATAAAAACTGATTACAGGACGATTAGCAAAAACAAAAGACGCGGGATGTACCACGTCATATATGCTTCAGCGGCAGCCGCACCGACTGGACGACACTGATCCCGACGGTCGCATCCGGCGTTACTTGCCATTTTCCGGGAGATTTCGTGGTCTGCCCGGTTCCCGTCAACAACATGGAACCCAAATGCTGGTAAGAAGCCAAGTTCTTCAACGGAATTAACGGATGCGCTCGCGACTCGTATGTGCGTTTTTCAACCGACGGCGGTTGACAGCAGCGCACGATGTCCGAAACCGGTTCAAGAAATCAACCTAAGTAAGAAGGCAAAAACCACGAACTAATCAATATCGATAAGCGTTGATTTTTATACTGGAGTTCGTCTGCCAAGGACTCGGGAAGGAGAACGAAAACTCGTTTTTATTGCCAGTGATAGAAAAAACTACTCAGTACGATAATGCTTAGTAAGTATCAATTTATTTGAGTTCATTCAAAATTATTTCAAAATTAGAAAGTGAACTGTTTCGCAGATGCATCAAACCGAAAAAGAATCCGTCCGCATCAGCAGCATCCGACAGCGCTTCCGCAATCTGATCAATCCGCAGAACGACCTTTTCAATGTTACCAAGTTTACGGAGTGTACAGTTTCAGCTGCCAACTCATTATCGTTCATTTTTATGTTGTCGTCGCTCTGCCGTTTTTTTCGGCGCTGTTTGGTACGGGAAGGGTATGATACCCCGAAAAAATTAATGTAGACTGCTCAGTTTGATTACTAAAGAGTCCAAATCCACCATTCTAACATTCTTAGAAGCTTGGTGTTCTTTTGCGCGTTTTGATGGAAGATTTTATTTGAGCTGTGATACTGACGTGAATGGTAGGTTTTATGTTCGGTAAAATGCGACGGTTGAGTGCGCCGTTTCTGTTGTTTGTTAAGCTCTTTGTCATGGGAAATGTACGTACTAGAAATGAAAATTACACTAAATAAAGGCGAACGCTATTGCCATTGCAGTTCACAACTTGATTTGGCTAAAGGCACTACAAAAGAGTCATTTAACAATTTTTGTGAAAAGCTACGCAATGCTAATGACACTGCAAGTCATCGACTGGCTATTGTACACACCTACAACAATGCGCTCGTCTCCGCCTCGACATAATTTGCACCGAGCGCGAAGCGCGAAAGCAATAAACCTTCGTCAAGTGATGCACGCTCCATAGCAGAGCATACACTTTCCACAGCAGAGCCTAACCAAAAAAAGCGTATGTGGCGCCACGCTTTTCAAATTCCACATATCCAATACCATTTTCCAGTGGTATTAGCGCTCACCTCAGTGCAGTGTGGTTAACAACCACAACTGGAACTAATGACGAAGATGATCGCCGTCCGGACGGTGTGTCGCAGTTGCCTTGGAAGAACGGTTTACGGCTAGCCTGGGACGTGACGTGTGTGGATACCGTCGCATTATCCAACGTTATTAGCAGCAGCGTCAAGGCTGGAGAAGCGGCCCGAAAAGCAGAAGACCAAAAGCGGCGGAAATGCGAATATTTAGCACCTGAGTACTATTTTGTTGCATTGGCTTTTGAAGCTTTTGGCGTCGCTAGCCCTTCATGTCTTAAGTTTTTGCGAGAATTGGGCAGGCGGTTAAAGGATGCTACGGGAAAACGACGCTCTTACGAGTTTCTGCTACAGCGTATTAGCATTGAAATACAGCGGTGGAATGCGCTGTCCGTGACTTCTACTGTACCGCGTTCTGATGGTTTTAACGCTGTTTACTTTGTTTTATGATGTTGATGTTTAAAACTGCTGAACGATAAGCAAACCAATAAATTCATACCACAACCACAACTAGTTATTATGTACAAAGCATTTTGCTCTACTGGAGAAATCCCTGGACAGCACAGAGGTTTTGTATGATTGTGCTGTCGGACTACACAGATAAAATGACATAATTATAGTATGTGCGTTTCCTGGATAATATTATGTGAGTGCGATGAGGTCACAAATCCACTGTAATTACATGAATACTAACTATCTGTGCCAGGATTTCGGCCCCTCTTCTTTGGCGCCGGTGATCTCAGCTTCTACTCATTCAGTTTTCCTGCTTTAAAATGCTTTAAAAACCTCCCGATCACGCGGGTGTTCTAAGACCGATCGTCGTTGCCAGTTTGCAGAACCTCAAGTCCAGTGGTCACTCAAAAGCTTGTTACCATGGATGCCATTGGGCTAACATGGGCGGGTTCACGCTCGTGTGCTTACTAATTTGCAAATTTCCAGGGAGACAGCTTATGTTCTAACCATGTTGCAACATACTGCATTATTCTGATAAAAAAATCTGAGATAGTCGCAAGCCGATATTCATCCGTGCTCAGCTTGTAAATTTATATCTATTGCTGCGTTACGGAAGCGGGCCATTGGAAAGTACCACGAGGATTCTCATATGATGCCGGGCGTACTATGCTCTAGCACTTCCAGTGAATCCGCCGAATCTTGATAATTATGATGATTGTTTTACACTATGCGCACTGGTATGGAAGTGCTGAATTACTGCTGAGTGTGGATGATGTCAATTTATTCAATGCATTACATGTACTGCATTACATATACGAAAAACACCTTCGCATGGCACTGGCAAACCAATAATACCCATTCCAAGGTGCCGTATTTAAGCGCTGCCCTTCACAAAGTGTTTTCCCGGTGAAAACTACTGTAACTCTGTAGCTATCGGGAAATCGCAGTACTACCCTAGTAATTTTCATCACAGTGTGATCTACTTAAGCCTTTTGGTTGCCAGGGAACCCAATTTCCTTGAAGATGACCTTTTTGGATGCACTACAGGTAGTGCCCTGCTTGGTCCTGATATTCCCTGGAACTATCACATGCCCCGTACAGCAAGGAATGAGCCGAGAAGCCAGTAAGCGTAATTTAATGTTAAACAAAATAAGTAGAGTACTTACTTACTGGCTGCTAATACTGTACAACCCTTAAGGATGAGCACTACTTCTATAAATGTTTAACCGTATGAAATCGTCCGGAATGTGAGCATGCAAAAGTATGGAAATCGCGGCTCGCCCCATTGTGATGTGCATTCAATAAGTCCTGTACATACTTTGTACTTCTACTTCTATGCTTTGGCCTGCACAGAAAAATGCATGAACCTTTAATGAGATTTTGCGTTTGTCAGTTAATGGACTCCTGGACAATGCGATCCGCAACGCAAATAACGGCATAATTGATTTAAATGCTTTATCAGTCAAGAGGTCAGAGGAAATCAGGCCAGCGGATAGCATCATTAGGTCACCGGAAGGAGAAACGGCTAGACTACATTGCAAAGGAAGAGCGCCTGTGCCGGCCGGCCAAGAGGAGAAACCCCAATTCTGGTTTAACGGAAGACGGAAACACAGCGGAGCGAGCGAAAGAATTCCGGTCGAAGTGCATCGGTGCAGTTGCCTCGGTGACTCGAACACAACACGCTTTTCTGCCGAATATGAAATCGCCGAAAGCAATCCTGTTACCGGGGAACTGATTGTAGATATCCTGGCGTTTTCCCATGCCCAAGCCGGGGAGTACGAATGTATACAGTTTAACGATAGCCCCTTTCGTACCATCCAGACATTTTTCGCCAGTCCGACGGTCACGCCGTCCAGAGTTTTTCAGCCGCCGATGCCTAATGTAACAGTCAGGATGGGTGACACCGCCCGCTTTCAATGTTACGTGAAATTTATTGCCATGCCGGGCGACTTTGGTGATCGTTTTCTCTGGAGAAACGAGGATCATGTGATTTATGCCGATGGGCTTAAGGAACTTCAAACCGGCAGTTCCACACTGTCGAATTTCAGATCCACTGTTTACGTCGGAACGGATGGGTTCTGCCATTGCCACTCAACTTTGGAAATCTCTAGTGTGCAGGCCAACCACGCCGGGCGCTACCAGTGTTGGTTCAAGGTTGACGATGTCTTCCATGAATGGATTGCGCAAGAATCTTATCTAATCGTGGCTACCTGAAAATGGGGTACCTTGCGGAATGGTTATGGAAGCCACCTGCGACTGCAATTAATGGCTTGAGTTCACTGTTCACTAATCAAAGGGAGAAAATGACAATACTGATTCGTTATGTTTTATTGCGTATTGTCGAGCTATGGAAGCGCAGCCAGGCTGTTACGTTTGTCAGCTAATGAGCTCCTGGACATTAGTGGACAATGCCATCCGCAGCGCAAAAAGCGGCATCATTGGTAGCATTGCTTAACCATGGAATGTCGATAAATGTTTTCTACAGATCGCTACCTTTAACGAATTCATGCGCAAGTGCAAGAAATCTTGCGCGTGTTTTTTGTTTCTAAGCTTCTAAAACCTTGTATGGCATAACGTACACAGCTCCCGGTACTCAGCTGGGCATATGGCTCGAGCGGATACATTTGCACATGCAGTTCATTAAACTCAACAGCCAAATTGTCCAAGTGCACCCCCGGGGCACCGCGACATTTCGCCGCGGACAATTAGTCGCAGGACTTTGGTCGCAGACATTTCACCGCCAGGCAATCACGCCACGCGACGTTTTGTTGCAGGACATCCCGCCGGTAGGACTTTATGCCGCCAGACTTTCGGTCGCATGGCTGTTACGACGCGAGGAAATTTCGTCGCAAGGATATCTCGACGAAGCGACATTTCGCCTATCAGATAAATGATTTAATAAGCTAAATCCTACAGTCAGAAAAAAACCTAAGAAACCCAAGAAACCTGAGGAACCTAAAAAACCTAAGAAACCTAAGAAACCTAAGAATCCTGAAAAACCTGGGAAACCTGAGAAACCTAAGAAAATCTAAAAAAGCTAGAAACGACCTAAGAAAGTCTAAAACAGGCCAAAAAACCCTAAGAAAAGCTAAGAGCAACCTACAAAAACCGAAATGACAATAGAATTAAGCGCGGTGAACTCTTCTGTGGCGATAAGTCGCATCGTTCGAAAAGTCTCAAGACGAATTGTCCGCGACCAGACGCCTTGCGTCGAAATGTCGCAAAGGTAAAATGTCTCAAAGCATAATGTCCCTAACCGAAGTGTCCCAGCGTCCGAATGTCCGGCGGCGAAATGTCTTCGCGGCGAAAAGTCGCGCGTTGAGTTTGAGTGCGGCGAAATGTCACACTCCCAAATGTCCGGGTGCGGCACCCCGGTATACTTATTAAAAGGTCACACAGGTTACTCCGAAAAAAATATCAAATGCAAACTGTCTGTTGATAAAAACTTTAAAACGCATGTGGAAAATTACGTATTATGCGCATTGAATTTGTACAATTCCTAAAATTCAAATGATTATCGATTTTATTATTATTGATTACTATTGTTTATTGCTACTTTTTGCTGTACATACACGACGACACGAAATGAGTCCCCAGAAACCAGTCAAGAAGAAAGAAGTTTGTAATAAAACTTTCCTCTGACTGTAACAAACGTCAGGATTGTTGCAGTAGCTAAACCATCGCATCTGGCTCCAAAACTTATTCCATTCCGTATACGTACCAGACATTTTAGGTTGCCACAGCAAGAAAGGCTTCCTGAATAACCCATTCATGGAAGATGTCATCCACCATGAGCCAGCACTGATAGCGCGCTGCGTGGTTTGCATCCACGCGCACGATTTCCTGAGTGGTGTGACAATGACACATCCCATCTGCTTCGATTTTAACATTTGTTTTAAAATCGGTTCTTCTGGAATGTCCGGATGTAATATCCTTGAACACGTTGAACCCATTAGCATAGACCACATGATCTTCGCTCCTCCAGAGAAAACGCGTCCGAAATGTCTTCTGGTAAGGCCAGAAACCTTACGGAACACTGAAAGCGGGCAGTGTCGCCCGCACTGACAGTTACGTTGCGCATCGGTGGCCGAAAGACCTGCGTTGCGTTGACCCTCGGACTGACCACGAAAGTCTGGGTGATTAAGAAAGAGCTGCCGTTTTACCGTCGACATTCGTACACACTCGTATTTCCCCGCTTGGGCGTGGGAAAATTCCAATAAATCAATAATCAACTCTCCCGTATCAGACTTTCTTTTAACCAAGATATACATATTTGTAATTGCTCCAGAACGGCGTCGTAGGCGAATCAACCTAACAACTGCATCGCTGATACTCAAAGCGCAGCGTCTCGCGATGTGAAGCAAATACTCGTCTTCCATTCAACTAAAGCTGCGGCTTTTCCTGTTGGCCTGTTGGCACAGGATCTACTCCTTTGCATCACAATCTTACTTTAGATCCCTCTGGTGCTCGAATGATTTCATCCGTTGGCCGTATTTCCGCCTGCTCGTTGATTGAATGCCTTAAATAAACGAATCCGTTCTTTGCGTTGCGGATTGCATCGTCCAGTCTACCATTGACTAACAAAGTCCGCACACAGATTAAAGCTTCCACAATAGTAATACTCACTTTTTTGACAATGTAAATTTTGGTAAAAACATGCTTGCTGAATTCTTGGCTTAGTTCTGATGGCACGGAGCATGTTAGAAAGCTCTCGAATGCAAAGCTCAAACACAGCGTTTAAAGTGCAGAGTATGTATTGCTGATAAGACCATCCTAAATGTCATAAATCATACCCAAATTAAAACTTTATCCAAACTGCTTAATAATCTAGTTATATACCAGATAGCCAGATAGCAGTTGTTGGAATAGCGTCGCCAACTTCGTATAGTGTTTTACGTCAGCTGCCGTTAAAATAAGATTAGTATCGGCCATCACCCTTGCGGTTTGATTAACAGCAGATAAAAATACAGTACGGCTGCAGTTTTTCAGTAACCGCGCATTATGCACTCTTACAAATAACTCGGTTGCTCAGCAATCGGAAAACACGTAATGCTGCACTGGCCACAGTTCTAGTCGCTGTTTAAAATTGCTCAGAAAAGGTTGCTGACAAGGAGTCTACTCTTTTGAAGATGACCTTACTTGTTACCGACACACTACACGTGATCCTGTATTTGAACCTAGTATTGCTGAGCATAATGGCATGCTCTGTACAAACAGGACTAAGCCGAGAACGCAGTAAGTACTAAATTGGTAATGTAATACAAAATGCTCACTTTCGATTCTGTGCAGATATGGTGTGCTGTAGCGATCCAAAGATCACACCCAAAAGGGTTTAGTACTGTACATACCCATGTTATCGTTGCCACGTAGTTAAACTACTTCAGCACCCGAGTAGTACAAATAGCTCGTACTTATAGTTATTGCATATTTTTATATCCGTACCACCCTTTTTAATGTGCATTCAACCTGTGTACTACTGAAATAAGCGTATTTGGCCATTGCGTTTAGAAATATGCTTATAACATCTGCAAACGACTAAAACGTCCACACAAATTTTGCCGATTTTTTTCATATGCTTTTTTAGTGCCACGTAAGTATGCTGAGTGTGTTTTTGAGCCGGGTCGGCATATAATTTTCAACCGGAAACTTTGGTCGTAATGCAAATCCTTTTCTCTAAACTCGGTGTATTCCTACCTAAGGCTTACACGAATCTGTCGATTGCCATAAACCGAAGCCCCACTAAACTGCCTTGATAAACGTCGATTACAGAAAACGTGCAAACACGTACTACATCGTACCGCAACTACCAGCAACGCTATCACCATAGTGTCTAACACAAGATTCGTATGGCCTTGCCGACCATATTCTCCGACTCCAACACACATCCTTAACATCATGGGCGCAATGAAAACGTAAAGAAACTGAGTTGGCTGAATTTGCGAGGGAACCTGCTGATTTTATATTAACTTTTAAACTTGGCCGAACGAAGCACATATATACATTGGAATTATTAATCTTCTTCTGGGGTTTCCAGTTAATGAACGCCTGGACGAAGCCATTCGAAGGGCGAAAAACGGTATTGTCCATTTAGAGGAGTCGTCAATCAGCGCGCCAGCGGAGACATGGCCAGCGGATAACATCGTCAGGTCACCCGAAGGAGGCACAGTGACTCTGCACTGCAAAGGAGGGAATCCTGTGCCGGTGGGCACAGAGAAAAAACCACAGATCTGGTTGAACGGAAGGCAGAAATTCATCGTGAAATCCGAAACGCTGCCGTTCGAGGTGCAGACATGCAGTTGCCTTGTTGATTCGATTGATACGCCTTTTTCGAACAAGTACACCGTCGCCTTGAAGAACCCTAGCACGGGAGAAATGATTATTGAATTACTGTCATTTTCTCATGTCCATGCCGGGAAATACGAATGTCGACGGTACAACGGCAGCTCTTTTCTCACCACCCAAACATTCTTTGTCAGTCCAACTGTCACACCAGCTCAAGTCTTTCAGCCACCGATGCGCAACGTGACCGTCAGAGTGGGTGACACCGCCCGTTTTCCATGTTATGTAAAATTCATAGCCATGCCGGGCTACTTTGGAGATCGGTTTCTTTGGAGAAACGAAGATCACGTCATTTATGCTGATGGGTTTAAGGAATTTCAGACCGGGCGTTCTACAATGACCAATTTCAGGACTACCGTTCACATAATAACGGATGGCTTTTGCCACTGCCACTCAACTCTGGAAATCTTGCGCGTGCAGCCCAACCATGCCGGACGTTACCAATGTTGGTTTAAAGTAGACGACGTCTTCCAGGAATGGATTGTTCAAGATGCTTATTTAATTGTGCTTACCTGAAAATATTCCTTGGGACCGCAAGGTTACATAATGCGATGGTTTGTCCTTTGCGCTGGGATGCTACGTTTCGTGATGCCCTACTCATGTGTATGCTGTGTGACAGCACTGACAGCGTATGTTTGTGTGTCACTACTGTGTATGTTATGTGTGCTGTATAAAGTAGGTTTATCGAAGGGCACCTACCTGGCATTGGGTGGAACGCATCGTGCTAATTGTGAGCTACATAGTACTGTAAGTGCTAAATTCTAAGCTGCATATTCGTTCGCGATTGTATTGCTGCTAAAACAACACGAAAAAGAACAGGAAGGTGCCAGATTGGTTCGTGGGCAGGCGGAGCTCAGCTGTGCAGTTTATTCAAAGTTAGAGTCTACTACGTCAGAGCTCCCAGTAGTGCCCGGTACAACCTAAGTAGGAACATGCAGTTATTGCCGTGATTTTTTTAGTCAATCAAAACCTAGACAATGCGCTCGCGCGCTCCGTTTTGCGAAAAGCGGCACCGTGCATTGAAAGGAGAAGTCTTCAAGGAGCAAGACTGCGGAGACATTGCCAGCGGACAGCATTATCAGGTCACCAGAGGGAAAAACAGCAAACCTCCACTGCAAGGGAGGAGCGCCTGTGCCGGGCAGGCAGGGAGGAAGACCCACAACTTTGGTGGAACAGCAGGCGGATATGCTACGTGAAATCCGAAATGTTTCTGTCCGTGATACAGCATTGCAGGTGTGTCATTAGCTCTTCTACTGCGCCTTTTATAGCAAGTATAATCTCGTCGAAAGCAGTCCTGTTACGGCAGAGATGATTTATGCTTTTCTGGTGCTGTCTCGTTTTCATGCCGGGAAATACGAGTATCTACGGTATAACGGCCTCTGTTCCCAGCATCCCGGCATTCTTTACTATATTCATTCCCGAAATAGTTTTAATTTTCTATAAAAAGAAATACCGAATTATCCATGCTGCACACAATCAGGGCAGTATTGGTATAAACCTGACAAACAATTCCACAACGGTGTTATTGCGGAGCATACTTTTGTTTGTCTAGCCAGAAAAGCGATAAAAGCTAGACAAACACCCACATATCCATGGATTTTTATTATTTTCTTTTCTAGTAGTTGAATAGACCAACAAGAATTTACAGCTTTGTTTTTCGACAATGATTGGCGGAAAAAGCCTGATTCCGAGCGTTAGCACCTGACTGCCATTACAATGAAATTTAGGTTGTCATAAGTAAATAAACAAGAGAATTTAACGAGTCTGTCGTTGCACAACCACGATGTACAGTATCACGGTATCATAGAAGCCTCGTAAACAAAAAACCGTATTCCCAGTTTCACAGTGCAGCTAGCAGGGCTCCTTCCGCTTAGTGTGGTAACAAAAATTCCATGATTTTATTACGCGACTTCAGTTAGGATGAAAACATCTTTATTATCGTAAATAATGGTCCTGTTTTACGGATACCGTGCGTATAAATAACAGCTGAAGTGGCAAGCAAAACCAGTTTCCAGTTCAAGACCAAAGGTTTCTTTCTACGTCGGTGACCTGCGTTTCTCCGTTCTGTCTTATACGTTTCCAATTTCTGTAGCTGCTATAGCGTTTTTCTGAAGGTCAAGCGGTAATCCTCTCAAAATGCTTCTGGAAAGTGTCCTGCTTCTGTTGGCCGGCCTTGCCGGGGCCTTCGGCCAGGTCCCATCGCCGAGTGCGCCGGCCAGCAATTTCTCCTACATCTCCGGGAAAGGCAGTTACCTGTTGGCTATCGATCGAACCGGCGTCGTTCATCGTCTGAATGGGACAACATGGGTTGCACTGCCCGCGCCGACGCTGGTGGGCAATCCAAATATCCCTGCGATCTCAACACACGCACGCAGTGTGGGCGCCAGTCCGGATGGCTGGCATCACATGTGCACCAAGACTGGTGAACCCTTCCGCTTTAATCCAAACAGCAACACATGGGAGTATACGAATAATGTCTTGTGTAAACAAGTAAGTGCATGTAAACGATGAAGCAATACGCTATTCGCACGCTTCTCAGTGGATGGTTCAAAGACTGTAAGTAGCTCCGTGAATGACGAAAACATGCACGTGCATTTCTTATATTCACCACATCTACGGTAATTTTACACTTCCTGAATTTAGAGATGCACATGCTTAAAAGTAAAAACCAAATAAAACGTTGTAAAAATTAGAAATAATCGGAACTGATCATGTTTGACAAACAGTTCATCCTTAACGCTGCTAAGTCCGTCCATGTTCGTTTCTCAAAGAAGATTTCTCCTGATTCCTCATGTCAGTACAGTATCAACAATGCTCCTATACCAAAGTCTGATTACGTAAAGCACTTGGGAATATTTGTTGATCGAAAACTGAACTTCAAAATCAACAGCGAAAATGTAGCAAAAAAATGCAACAAAAGAGTCAACTACATTAACCACGTTTTTCGATACACTGACTACGGTGCCCGCATACGGCTCTTTGAAGCACTTGTTCTTTCAGTTATCGATTACTGTTGCGTCATCATGAAGCCGTCATTAAAACAGTCGAAAAATGCCATCGAAAGTTGTCAGAGAAGGTTTTCTAAAACTTTACGACTCGGCAGCAATGTCTTGAATTACGAAAAACGTCTAAAAGAACTTGAATGGGACGATCTGATTACACGCCGTCTGAAAAAAGCACTATTGTTTATGTACAAATTAGTTTTCCGGGTGGTTCCGATGGGTGATCAAATTGTATCTCCCCTGAAACTCTCTACTGCTGTGCTTGAGTCTGTTGCAGGAAATACCAGAATATCAGAACGCCTCCTGAAGCACCCATGCCCGATCGAGCCGTCCCCGACAACCGTTTGTGGAATAACAGTGACCACTGCCCATGACTCGTACCTCAACAGACTTGTGTCCGTCTGGAATGAACTTCCCTTGCTACCCATCGCCTACGTCACGTTGGATACCTTTTCCGAAGCCTTAAAGACAGTAAACTGGACCGATTTACCATCAGTTAAAGCTTTCAGAACAAGTGTCTAGCATAATTAATTATCTATTGTATTCTTTGTTGTTCAATGTTAAAAGAAGTAAAAGTTAATTAGTAAGTACCATGGTTGCGACTCAGTTGAATTTGTACAAAAAGGCGATTACGTGCGTAAGTGTCCTTGCTTTCCTTTTTCCCACGATTTCTTTTTGAAAATATTTTGAAAATTTGTAATTGTTAACGTGGGTTTTGGTTTTATGCATCGACCCCAGCGCGATCGTCTCCCTCCCTTTGTCCACGATAACACCAACTGATCGCAACCGCAGCCAATGTGTCTCTCTGTCCTGCCTTTACAAGTTTTTTGCTGTTTATTATAAAACTATTGTTTGTTGTTGTTATCGTAATCACTTAATGTTTTCGTGCTTCACTTCATGATGCTGTTGCAATGCTTTGTATGGTTTCCCTTACGCTGTCTCGCTGTCTGAAGCTTAAAGGGGGCACTCGCTCCGTGCAAGGACAATAAACTTCCATTATATGTTGTTAATACTTGTTCAGATTATTAATTAAGCTGCAGGTTTTAGAATTAGATGGAGTTTCTAAATGCTGAACTTCGGTAACTGCTTTGCTTACCAGATCCAATTGCTGAAAGTCTGTCTGTGAGCATTGCTTTTGCTGTTTAAGTAAAGGTAAAGTCTGTACATTAATTAATAATTACCGTATTGCTGCGTCTTCTGCTCATGCAAAATGACGAGGAACCTGGAATGTAACAGGACTGCATGCATTTTTCTTGCAGATTAACGCACGGAATAAAGACAACGCTGCGATGATCAAGGTGCAGGCCTTGAGAAGTAACCAGGGAGTAGCAGTAACCTATACAGGTTAGCAGAAAATTCTGTTTGCTCAATCCATATGATGTGTTGATGCGCATCGTTATTCCCGTGTTTATGAAATCGGAACTACGTATTTTAAATTTCTACTGTGCTTTTAAAATTCTTCGTTGTACAGCCACAGGTATCCTCGGAACTGGATCGTGGAATCTCTTAGGCGTAACCACGGATAATAATTTCGACTATCTAGAATGGGTCAGTATTGGGAAGGACGGTGAGATTTGGACTATTGCGAACGAAGGGCGCGTGTTCCGCTACAACAGTGCGGCCGACAGATTTGACGGGATCCCTATTCTCAATGCCCTGCGACTGGATGTGCGCAATGCCAGCTATGCCACTGTCGTCACACCGGGATGCACCGCGTGGACCTTCAAGAGCGGCACATGGGCCAAATGGTACATCGTCAGCGGCTGTCCGGTGCAGACAACCTCCACCAGTAGCAATGATTACTACCTGGACGAGCGCGGTCATTTCGGTTCCCGACACTGAAAGACTTGATTCTGTCATGTCGTGGATTTAATACAGCGCGTACTGACAAAGGCGGAATGCTTAAGAGGGTGAAGTTTTACTTGTGCTTTTAAAAGTGGCCTTTACCCTTGATAGTTATGTATAAACGCTTCAGCTACTTTTTAAGCGCATTACCGAAAGCTTGGCAAAGCGGCCTTGACAGGCCGACAAAGTAGTACTATAATTATTATATGGCTAAGGCTATTTTGCCGCAGTATTCTACAGTGCGTCAAAATAGCCTTTTGCTATTTTGCCGCACACTGCGCTACAATAGCCTTTCGCTATTTTACCGCAGTATGCGCGGCACATTAGCCTTTCACTATTTTACCGCACACTGCGTTATAACAGCCTTTTGCTATTTTGCCGCAGTGTACTCGGAGTTACGGGTATCTATTAAAAGTGCTATGCTGTGGCCATATATTAAAAATTTAACACTCACTATTTTGGCTGCCGATTCGGCAAAAAACGGGTTTCCCATCCAGTTGTCGTATGCCGGGTTGTTGACAATCCGTCTCCAGACCGGCTATTTGTTTATCAAGTTGTTCGGCCTAAATTTTTGCTGTTCCTAGCTCCTGTTCTAAGTTGAAGTATTTCATGCATAAGTCCGTCCGCTCCATTGATGCTTTGACGGCTCGTGCGGCAAAGTCGGTTGACTCGATTAAGGCCCTATCGTACCTATCCTTTTACTCGTCCCGTTCTTCCGTTGCCGTCCGGAGCTGTCGTTTTAACATGCTTGTCGCCTCGACCCATTGTTGCACACGTGCCTAAGGTTGGCATTCTCAGCTGTCGCGGTGTCCAGCCGTTTTCAGAGTCGGTGGGTGCCTTCTGTAAGGTCCGCGTTTTCCCTGCTTAGGGTGGTAATGGTCGTTTCCTTACCTGTTGCCTCCATCCAGTCAATATTGTTCCGGTCACCTGCCAACTGGACTCTTACATTGGCCGAGTTTAATCCTTTTATGATATCCGTTTTCAGTTTTATTCAGCAGCACATCGCTACACTTTTTGCGCGATTTTTGCTGGACGTTGTCCGCTTGTACTTGTACGCATCCGCAGTAAAGTCACACAACGTAGTCCTATCCTGCGTTCCAGTGCGGTTCGTGGCCACTTTGTAGCTTCTGCCTTAGATGGTAGCAGGAGCGTTGCATTCTCCACTTGGAAATTTTTGAGTCATCCCCGGAGTAAAGGCATCAATCGGGCAAAAGCGTTTAATTCCATGGTGCCGAATTACCCATGACAGTCTGCCGGAAACGACTTTCTGCATTTTTCAAGGACGTAAGGGCCTGATTCGTGTGCGGATCCTCATGCGACAGGAACAGCATCCCTATCTCCCTTGAAAACTGGGATCCGACCAAGAAGCAGGAGAAAGAGAAGAACGGCGGGAAGCTCCCAAGAACTCGATGCGACCTATCGGGCACACTTGTTTCGCAGCCTCGCGTTCTGGCTGGCTAAGCGGACCAACTCGGAACTCTCAAACCACAACCTGGAGAACATGTACAGGAACCTGCAGTGGGTGGACCGCGCCGCAGAAAGGTTACCCGGGCCGGGTGGATCGGATCAGCCCACACCAACGGTCACTCGGCGGAGAGCTCGGTCAAACTGTTGACGGACAACTCGATCATACCGTCGCCGGCCCGGGAATGCTCCGGTGTCACACCAAAGTCCGGGGTCGACACCAAAGGCGAACAAATTTCGACCCGACCTAACCAACCCGACATTCCGGACGCCGATGGGGCAGCAGTCCCAAGTAAACCGACCCGATTGCACCGGGCCGCGACTCCTTGACTGGATCAGATTGTGGATTTCGTCGAACTACGGCACCGAGCGACGGAGCTATCGCGTGGACTAAAGGCGGCAAGCGATCTGACCAAAGTCAGCAAAAACCTACGGATCGCCAGCATGATAAAAGTCTACCATTGACGGGCTCCCACAGCATGACAGAACGTGAATGCGTGGCTTTGACACCAGAAGCGAGTCGTCTGGCCCGGTTGAATAGTGTTATGTGTGTTGCGCGTGCACACTGAGCGCATGCTGCAGCCAATCAGGAGCGACAATAAGCCAAATCTACGGCTGAGCGAACGCACTGATGGGTTCGGCATCCACAATAAGTACAATCGTACAGCGGCAAGCACTTGAAAAGTACAAGCGCTCAACGGCGTACGTAAAGGAAACCGCGCGGTAAGCACGGCGGCTGGCGGAACAAAATGTCCGTCACTGCCTGAGCCGCCGGGCATCTGGTATCCGTTTAAATTGTGTTAAGCAGTTTGCGCAGGGGAAGACAAAAGCGAGAAAGAAAGAGGTGCAACTACGTCGAGCTTACTGATCGAGTTACTTTTTCCAACCTATAGCCTTTGAGACTACGGAAACTTGCTGCCCAAGTAGACGCCAGTTCATCAGTGAAGTGGGCCGAAGTATAAAAAATCAAACCGGAGAAGTGCGCGCTACTGAATTTTTGTGGCAGCCTATAAGTGTAGAAGTTCAACATGTAATGCGGCTTCTATTCTGGGAACTGTCGATTGTTCAAAACAGCTAGAAGAGTTGTTTTATTTGCTCTAGCGATTGGATATTTGAGCTTTAAGTTTAAACGGCATTTGCTTGCAGAAGTTTGGAATACGTTCGTTCGGCCACCCAATATAATTTTTTATCTAAAGTCTAAAAACCCAACACAGCCTGGCAAAAAAATCTTAATGGTATTTTTTCCATGCTCTTAGTTTGTTGTCTCATATATTTATGAGTCTTACCGGTTCACCGAGTAACTATTTTACTGTAGCAACTCTAAATTCTCTTGTTACCCTACACAGTTGGTATGTTTAAAGGTAAGAAACCACGTGGATATTTAACCACACCCTCCATACGTCGATTTTCTCCATATTAACTGGAAACTGCGGCAAAATAGCAAAAGGTTATTTTGCCGCCCTTACTACGGTAAAATAGCCAAAGGCTATTGTAACGCAGTGTGCGGCTAAATAGTGAATGGCTATTTTGCCGGCCATAGTGCGGTAAAATAGCTAAAGGCTATTCTGCCGCAAATACTGCGGCAAAATAGCCACTTCGTTATTATATTCCTTACGTCGATTATAGACATAATGTGCCGCTCTTTGATTTTTTCCTGAGTCAGCAAACGTCTTTCATGTTCTACAGTTGTGTCCAGCAGATGCACAGGCGTTCAGTAAATCAGTTCTAATAAAGTGTCTTTCTGTATAATGTATCAGCTTGTGCATAAAGGGACGCGTATTACCGACTTTGGTTGAAGTTTAAAACGTCGCTTATAGCTAAACATTATTACAAGAAGTACTGTACTATGAAACCAAGTGGCTTATTGACAAATAAAGAAACAGCCGCACGTGTTTCCAAGGACATAACTACTTACGTTAAGCAATGCAAAACGTCAACAGCAGCAATAATGGTGGATAATAGAGAAAAATTTCCTTCTCACTATTGCGCAGAATATTAATGTCATACTTAGGAAAAAAGTTATAAACTACGTAAATTACAAGGATTGTATTGCACCAGTTAGCGATCCCAATATGCATTTGTCATCTGCATCTACCAGCGGCTCCACGATTTATTTTTTGTGTCAAGATCATGAAGCCGGCAAAGCCAGGAATGATCTGATTAATTTAATAGGGTCGGCATAAATTTTCAGTGTACGTAATCGCAAATTCAGAGTTTCCGCAAAATAAGCGAACATGAATTTTACCTATAAGCAAACATGAATCAAAACATGAATTCAGCCATAAGCGAACATGAATTCATACAAAAATAACCTTCCGCTTGCTTGATGCCGGCAGCGACAACGAGTTGCCACTGTTAGCTTCGAGCAGCAAATGTGAGGTTTATAAACAAGAAAACTTTACATGGAAATTAAGGTACAGAAATGAGCGGACTAACGAATTTTCCGCAGCTCATGTTTTGTACAGAGTGCGCTTTTTGTAGTTTGTGCCTATACGAGCCACTGTGACGTGTGCAAAAGTGTAATACTGCACGCTAAATCCCAGAAATATAATATAACGATTTGACAAATTTTTTATTCCTCGTACGTGAAAAAAAAACCAAAAAAGTTGTAAGAAACCTAAAATATCTTATTTTTCTCGAAAGTTTAGCGTTTGTTTAGGGCTTTGTCTCTCCGTTAATTTTGAAAGGATAGCGTAATTATACGCACACGTGAGTGCTACAGCGTTTGCGATAACCTAATACTTTACCCTAAAACAACGATCCAGAAAAGTTGATTCAGAAAATAAAATGATGGAAGTTTTTAATCTTGTTACGTGAATTTTACTGGAAAATGCGAAGCGACACGTCACGCAAACGTTAAATTATAAAAAAATGTTTCATTTTTATGGAGAAGGCAACAGTAAGTTCACGCAGCACTGGCAGCGTTGTTTGAGCAAATCCTGACAATAAACACCGCTATGCAAAGCGAACCTTTTGCATGTCTAGCCACAAAGACGATAAAAATTAGAGAGACACCAACTCGATTGTTCATTGTTGACATTGCGTCTGGCCGGCAAACTGGAGCGGGTTAGTTCCATAACAGTTTACGGCTTTGTTTTCGACAATGAAGTGCGGAAACAGCCCATTTCCTTCCGCTTGTGCAAGCTCATTGTGGAATTTAGGTTTTCATATGTAAATAAGCAAGATACTTTCCCGAACCTTTAATACTGCCAATTCAGGGTTTACGATATCATAAAACCCCGCCAGTAATGTGAATTATTGCAAACTTCATAGGCTATTTTTACATTTGTTATTTTTCTGAAGACCCTGGTAATGATACATTCCTTTCTTTCTTCCAGAGATTTCGGCCAGACAAAAACATTTTTATAACTGCAATAAAATTCATATTCAGCGGGTCGCAGCTCTTATAAGTAGCAGTTCCACTGTTCAACCAAAGCCGTAATTCCTTTTATCAAAATACTGTTCATTGTGTAGCAGACACTGCCATTGTCCCGTTAACGTTTGAAGAGTAAGTTTTCAAAGGTAAATTCGTAATCTCCTAACCATGATTGCGGAGGGCTTCCTGATTCTGTCGGTCAGCATGATCGGCGTCTTCGGCCAGATCCCGTCGCCGAGTGCACCGTACAGTAATTTCACCTACATTTCCGGGAAAGGCAGCGCGCTGCTGGCCATTGATCGAGTTGGCATCGTCCACAGTCTCGTCGGTGGGGCATGGACTGCATTACCCGCACCTGTCCCGTTCGTTGACCCCATTGACCCCGGAGTTAGTTCGACCAAAGCCGTCACGGTGGGCGCTAGCCCGGATGGCTGGCATCATATGTGCACGGTGTCAGGTGAGACGTACCGTTTTAATCCAACCAGCAATGCCTGGGAGGGCACCAACAGTGGCAGATGTCTGCAGGTGAGCGTTGGTAATATCCACTGAGTATTTGTTAGCAGATTAGCCATTACTCTACCGAATTAAGATGGTAGTCGATCTTTTCTTCGAAAATATGGATCGGGCGCGGTCCAAGTATTGTAATCTGCAACATTGCATCGTTTTTGAGCAACGTTTTGGCCTGTGCAGACTTCTGTCTGCCAGTTTTCCTCAGTTTGTTTTGTTCGATTAAAGATAGCCATCCGCGACAAGAAATTTTGAAGAGCTATTTTGTAATGCAGTTATCACAATTTTACATGTTTGTATCGCTACAACAAATAGTATTAAACCCAGAATTAAACCCAGTTGGTACCAAAATGCGGTTTCGTTTCGATCATTCGAAAAAAATTTTCCGTACCTGAAAATAAGAACAGTGGATTTGCAGGCCGGACCAAAATTTTGTAAATAAGTTCTTTGTAACCGAGAGGCCGAGACCGCTGAAATATTTTGAGTTTTAACTGTAGCTCGAAACACCTTTTGCAGATCAACGCGCTGAACAAAAACACCGCTGTGGACATTCTGGCGCCAACAGCAACCGCGGATTATGGAGATGTTCAAAAATTAAATGCGGCCCTCTTAATTCCTACATGGAGCGAACTGGGCGGTACCGGGCAGCGAACCAATCAAGCGTTCCGCTGGAGCAAATGGGTCAGTGTCGGGGAAGACGGGGAGATCTGGACGATCTCGCGCGCTGGCGAAGTCTTCCGCTTCAACGCCGCCACCAACAACTTTGACGGGATCCCCATTCTGGATGCCCTGCGACTGGAGGTGCGCAATGCCAGCTACGCCACGGTCGTGACCACCGGCTGCAACGCGTGGACCTTCAGCAGCGGAACCTGGACTAAGTGGGCCATCGCGACCTGCCCGAAACAGACGACCTCTAACAGCAACAACGATTATTACCTGGACGGCCGTGGTCGCTTCGGCTCGCGCCATTAAACAGCTTTTCATCCATGGCAAAACTAATATCGGCAATAGTTTGCTACTGATGCTTCTTACCATTAGTAAATGTTGGCCTATGGCTCCGCAAATGCGGTTTGATTTGCATTGATTTTAAAAGTGGTCGTCACGTGCTTGGCAGTTTTTCACACGAGCAAACCTTCTTTCCTCGCCTTCTGGCCTGGAGCGCTATTGTCATCCCGGAAGCAGCATAATCTAATCTGAAAACCAAATAACAACTAACAATAAAGCTGCGGCTCGATATTTCATAACGCGTCAGTAACGTTTCACGCTTGAGATGGTAATAAAAGGGGCTTCTGCCTTAGTTAGTGCTTCATGCACGATATGTGCATGAGAACCGGTGCTCGGCGATTAACAAATAAAGAGCCACTCGCATGTGCATGCCGGCGATAGTAGGGAGTGGTCGCCTACGAGATATTTATTGCCGGAGCGGCACTGCACATTTCTTAATACCAGCGAAAATTTCCTTCTCTTCGTCTCGATATGATAGTCAGCTGCGTTAGGTTCCTAATAGCCGTTCCTTCTCTGTAACAAAAATAAGGGCGGCAAGGCAAACATGTCGTGTCAGTTAAGAAGAAATCAGCGCCCTGAGTTCATCGTGTGCATTCTGGGCAACCTAATTGGTAAAGACTGTAAAGTTTTACTATGAAACAGTTTGAACGATTATCTTTTTTTAGCGTCAGTAACCAGCGCCGTTATCACCCTTGTGGACCCGAATTGTCCGGCAGACCCTCCCAAGTCGCCGGTCCCGCCGCACTGGTGATACACTGACAGAGCGAACCATACAGCAGGCAAGAGACTGCTTAGTTAATGTAGTTTCACCATCTTGACTCTTTCGATTTGTGGCTAGTAGATCTTATACCGGAAACATAGGCGAAAGCGTATCCCGATGTGAGGGCCGTCGTCAGTCACCCATCCCCATCGATACACGTTTGGCGGTGCGAGATCCCGCTTTAGAACCGTTGGCCTTCGTAAGGTACGGTACTCCGTCCAGGAATGATAGTTGGACGGCCGTCAACCTTGGTCATGTTTGTAATACGGCTTACCAATAATTCTTTATATACTGTATTGATGTGAATGCAGAAAGTTTGACACGTCTGGAATCGGTTTTTGCAGCGCAGTTTACGGGACATTATGCAACCGCACCGGAAATCCGTGGTGGCAGCCTGGGCGATGATTATGTATTCCTACAATTCCATTTTCACTGGGGTTCTGTTAACACCCGTGGGTCGGAGCACGTGATCGACGGATAGCGATATCCACTTGAAGTAAACGTCTGTAACCGACTAAAACGTCCGGACGACCAAGACGTCCGGCGGACGTTTTAGTCGTTAAACCGACCAAACCGTCCGGGGGCCAAAAAAACGTCCGCCGTAAATTTTGCCCACTCAAAAATTTTTGCATTTTCGATGTGACCCTAAGTTCCTGAGAGCGTCTAAACCCGGACACTTTGGTCTGAGCACTATTTCATCCCGGACACTTTGGTCGGAGCACTATTTTGACCGGATACTTTGGTCGGAGCACTATTTCAGCCCGGACACTTTGGTCGGAGCACTATTTCAGCCCGGACACTTTGGTCGGAGCACTATTTTAGCCCGGACACTTTGGTCGGAGCACTATTTTGACCGGACACTTTGGTCGGAGCACTATTTCAGCCCGGACACTTTGGTCGGAGCACTATTTCAGCCCGGGCACTTTGGTCGGAGCACTATTTTGACCGGACACTTTGGTCGGAGCACTATTTTAGCCCGGACACTTTGGTCGGAGCACTATTTTGACCGGACACTTTGGTCGGAGCACTATTTCAGCCCGGGCACTTTGCTCGGAGCATTATTTTGACCGGACACTTTGGTCGGAGCACTATTTCAGCCCGGACACTTTGGCCGGAGCACTATTTCAGCCCGGACACTTTGGTCGGAGCACTGTTTCAGCTCGGACAATTTGGTCATGGGGTTCATCACATATCAGTCGACCTTCGGCGGGAAAGCGGATGGGATTTATTTTACAATATCTACATTAGCGTCCACGGCGATACGAAACTTTTGGATAGCGAAACAATGAAAAAAAACAGCAATTAGCGATTGAATAAAGGCAGTGCGCAATAGCGTATAGGATGCCGCGCATTTCATTGCCTGTAACCTATTGAGCATTCCCATTAGAGAAACGATATGCCAGCGTGAATTTGGCAAGATACGAAGTAATCAAAAACCGAGTAGCTGCCAAATCTAAGTTTCTTAAAATTTTGATGTTTTCACTTTCTATTTGGTAAGGCTTCTTTTAAGGAAATACAGCTTACCTTAAAAATTACGGTGAGATGATGAGTTGTAAGGGGCGACAGTATGCTGGCGCTTTCCCCCCAAAATGTTTAATGGTTTACGCTTTCTAGTTTAATATTTTTTATGTTTGTTTTTCAGTATTACATTTTCGACCGAAGCGAAGCGAAGGTCCTCTATTTTAAAGGAAACGGGACTTTCTGTCACGTCGGCCACGTCGGTCACGCACACATAAATTATTGCGCTTAATAAAAGCTTAAGAGGGGGCGTGGCCAGCGTCGAATCCCCGAGATCCCTTAGCGGTGGATTTCAAAAACCAAAGTTCGTTTGATAGAAAACTTCAAAAAACCCTATCATACAAAGTCTACGGACCTCCACCACAACCAATTAGCGAGGACGTTAAGTAACTGCTGGCTTCAGTTGTTTGGGAGCTTGTGTGATGATATTGAAATTTGGCGAATTTGGTTTACTTGGATATTTTCGGTCTTTTGTTTCGGTCTGACTGGGAAGTAAGCTTCTAGAAACCTTTGTCTATAGTGTTGCGTTTTAGGATAACAAAAACATATACTCGAGAAAGGTCTGAATTATTTTGAAAACTGAACACACAGAAAACTAGGGGAACCTATTAAAGAAGTGTTCCAAGTGAGATTCGCGAACCTTTTGCTGACAACTGGCAACTGGCAAGCTTCGAGTAGCTGCGGGATGGCGGTTAGCTGCTTGATACTTATGTAGAGGGCAGTGTTCTGTATCAGAAAAATTTTGTGATTTGGACGGTACGTAGGGCGATTAAAACAAACCTGGATCCGTCAGTGAATCCGGGTGCGCAACTCTGGTTCCGTGTTCATTGTTCTTCGCCGGGCGATGCGACAACCCTTTGGGGCGATTCAATAAGCTTTATTTTCAACAAATATTTAACTTTATCAACACAACACAGTTAACTTTAACAACGCAGCATTCGTCATTTATGCATTGATTTGCTCAAAACAGAGCAACAGTTATACGAAAGGTTAATACAACGGCAAAGGCACGGTATTGATATTTCCACGCTTAACGGTCGCAGACGAACGTATTACCGTTTCTTTGTGCGGTAGTTTATGCATTTAGAATAGTTTGCTGATACCCCCATGTTCCACCGTTTGTCGAACCGCCCTGTCAATTGCGTAAAATGTATAGACTAAAAATACAATAGGCCTTTGTGAAGTCTAAGCCATTGCGGGCTATTGTTATCGAATCGCCCTCCGAACCGATTTGGACTCCAAATGTTGAAGTCCCACTTTGTGGAGACTTAAGACTACTACAGATCTACTGTTGAAATTTCTATATGTACATCGTTCCACGTTTTTTATAAGTTTTTGTTCGTGTTTGTGGACTAGAAACATAGCGATTTTCGAGAAACATGAATTAAAATGAACTTTATGATGAACGCTTTAATTACATAATGCTTGAACTTGAAAGTTCACGCCAAAATTGTCGATTTTCGACGAATAATAACAAATGCTTGCTGAGGAATGCTACTCTTGAGAACCGGCAAGATGTTTTGCGAATAAAATGGATGAGCGCAACTAACCTTACTCAAATGATTCCAGCGTCACTGTTTCAAACGGTATCTTCATGAAAAAAATTATCTTTGAATTTTGGTAGTAAATAAGTGATAGGAACATAAGGCGAAGCCGAACTGCTGCACGAGGAAAGCTCGCAAAGTAGCACTCAAGCGAAAGCATGTTTGGAGGTTTCTTCAGTGTATCAGCCAGCTTTGCAAGAATTTATCCTTTTAAAATAAAAAAAGAAGTTCATGTAAGTAGCTAGCTGGTGCGTAATTGACGCCTGCCAGTGGAAAAGGCAATGAATTTGTTAATAACTGGGTAATTATCAAGGTAACTTCGATAAGCATCATATGAAACCTTAACAGTCTTTCAATAACGTAATTTATCTGTAACTAATTTGTTCCGCGCAGTTTGCGCTCGGTCACCCGGTTATTTAAAATAGCTATGAAAGGCAGCCTTTACAAGTCAACCATTATACGGTCCGTTTGTATAGTATTTAGGCTGACCGAAAGCTTGCACTTAATCATACCGTCCATACGGTAAAGAAAAGTATCAAAGCATGATTGACTAGAGCACTCATTTCAGTTCTTCTACCATAATCAGCAAAGAGTGTACTTTCAAGAAAAGCACACTCGTTCAGGCGGGTGATGAATGACTGTAACAAATAAAATTTATTCATAGAGTGACGACGAAAACATTTTTGCATAATAACATGAACCGTAGAACCCTGTCCAAGTAGTAACACATTTTGCCAATGCGCCTGATTTCCAGATTTGACTGTCAGGAATAAAAAAGTGCTCCAACCAAAGTGTCCTGGCTAAAATAGTGCTCCGACCAAAGTGTCCGGGCTGAAATAGTGCTCCGACCAAAGTGTCCGGGCTGAAATAGTTCTCCGACCAAAGTGTCCGGCTCCAAATAGTGCTCCGACCATAGTGCCCGGGCTGAAATAGTGCTCCGACCAAAGTGTCCGGGCTGAAATAGTGCTCCGACCCAAGTTTCCGGGCTAAAACAGTGCTCCGACCAATGTGTCCGGCTCCAAATAGTGCTCCGACCCAAGTGTCCGGGCTAAAACAGTGCTCCGACCAAAGTGTCTGGGCTGAAATAGTGCTCCGACCAAAGTGTCCGGGCTGAAATAGTGCTCCGACCAAAGTGTCCGGTCAAAATAGTGCTCTGACCAAAGTGTCCGGGCTGAGACGCTCTCAGGAACTTCAGGTCACATCGAGAATGCAAAAATTTTTGAGTGGGCAAAATTTACGGCGGACGTTTTTTTGGCCCCCGGACGGTTTGGTCGGTTTAACGACTAAAGCGTCCGCCGGACGTCTTGGTCGTCTGGACGTTTTGGTCGGTTACAAACGTCACCTGTGGCAGACTGGCAAATTACATTAATTATCTTTACAGACTGTATAATATGTTTTGCAGTTTGCATATCGTGCACCGCAAAAGCATTTTCTACGACAACGAAGCTCTTGGAGATTCCACGGG